ATATATATATATATATATACATATGTGTGTGTGTGCTTCTTATCCCCCACACCAAATATTCCGATGTCCTTATTTTTTGTTGGGTGGGTTAAATATGGAAAAATTTGAAGTACCTGCAAGCAYACAAAACTATTTCAACAGTCGGCATGGCAGCTGGTGGCCTCACAAACRATTCCTGATAAGATGTATCATATTGATATGAGCATTTGGGCCTTGCTATTCCCTACAAAGATAAAATGGAAAGAAATATCAATTCTAGTTTTTGTAATTCAGTTGAAGCATATGTGATATCCACACACTTATTTGTTTAAAAGAGGAGAAAAGAGACCTTTTTTGTTTTGCTTTGTTTCTAATGTCTTTAGATAAAATCTCATAATACCCTGTGTTTTCTTTCTTCTGTATAAGCAAAAGAATATTCATCAGCTGATTGTATTTAAATGAAGTGAATAATTGACATAATCGATATAAACATATTATTAATATTTGAATTTTTTGGATATAAGCAGACAAGCAAAGGGCATAGAAAGAAAATATCAACCTTTAGTTATCTTAATATCGTAAGTTGAGATTACTTTACCCATAAAAAATAGCTTCATGAAGAAAAGATACCTATTTTTTTCCAGTTCTTGCCATTGAATTGTTGAACAGTTTTACATAACGTATAAGGGGGCATTCTTCATCATTTCAGAACCATAAATTAGAAACTAAGGCCAATAGTCTAAGGTATAAGGTTTTATGTCTATGAGATTGAAAGGGGACAACCCAATGCATAGTTTGGAATAATCTACATACTTGCAGAACTTATCGTATCTTCCTTTTTATGTGATTCATCTTCACTTAATAAAGTTCAGGGTGGCATCAATTGAGAATGAGAACATAAGAACTCAATAGTAATGATTCAAGTATTAAGAGAAGGTTTATGAATCCGCTTCAAAAGAAATATTAAGAAACTTAAACATCCCGTATGTGTGCATCAATATTCAAAAATCAAAAAATAATTCAGACCGTAACATATGAATTGAACCAAAATCAATTAAAAATAAAACCTAATACTCTAATACGCTCTGACAATAGTAATTCAATAAAAAAATAAACTCATAATCGATTCTAAACAAAACTGAAGAACAAAATCGAATGGAATTCAAAATCACCTCTTAAAATGGAAATCTTAATCGAAATTGAAATCGAAATCAATAGGGTTTTGAAGAGCATACCTCCAAATTAAAATTGAAATGGAAATCGCTACGGTTTTGAAGAACCTGTGAAATTGAAACATCATGGAGGAGGGAGTTATATGTATCGATGAGGTTGTGATACATCAAATCGGATTGATACATGAAATTGTTTTTGAAGACTGTGAGAGAAGAAAGCAAATTGAACATCTGTTCGAGGTGATACATCAAAACCACAATGTTAACCTGTTCCCGGTGAGTCAAGGAAGAAAGCATCTCTGTTATACCCAAATTTGTTTGARCGCATMTGAGACACTGAAATAARAATGTGCAGAAGACTGTAAGGGAGAAAGCACGTTTGAAAGCTTCCGATTAGGTTTTGGAGTTAGTGGGTTTAAAACCCTTGCACAAAAAACTTGTACCTTATGCATTATATTTGGTAATTAAGRGTTTTTTGAATTTTATGCATAAAACCATTGTAACTTATGCTTTAGAAGTTGTAATTAAGATATTGATCTAAATGGTTATATATGTAGTATAGATTATTTTACTTTTGGGATATAACCCCAAGTACTCTTAGATGCTCTTTTAAGTTATACTTAAAGTAAGTTTTTATGGTTATTATCCAATGGGTCATGCTTTTATTTGATTCTCTTAGTAGTTTAGCCTACTATGAATAATAGACTTCAATGTTTCCGTACGTATGCAAGCAAGATGGAAACAAGTTTTTAAGCATGTGGACATTTGGCTAGTTCTTTACTTTATGCGAGTAATCTTTTGAAGTTACTTTATGTTTCTCACGCTTTACATTTCTCATATGTTTATTATAAAACCCAAAATTTTAAATATTTAAGGGGCTGTTTGACAGTTGCTGAATGATTAAGTGATTAAAATGATTAAGAAACTCTCATGATATAGTGAAAAATGAAATATAATTATTTGGTAATTGTTTACATTGAATTTAGGGCGTTGAATGGTTAAGGGAGACTCATGATACAAAATCAATCAGAGGGTTTTAAAACCATTAAGAGACAAACTTTTTCTTTTTTGCCAAACAAGATTTACCGCTTAATGATTCAGATGTTGCCTCTTAATGGAACTATTAAGAGGTAAACAAACAACCCCTAAATAATATTATTTGAGCCTCTAAATATTTATTTGTTAAATTTATTTGAAGTATGTAATTAGTTGAAGAAAATAATTGTAGAAATCTTAAAATAAGATATAATGAAAAGAAAGGCAAAAGAGAAAATAAAAAACCAATTTTTTACCCATTATAGCATTGGGTAACCTTTTGATTAGAACAATATAACAATATTAAAAAATTATAGAACACAATTTATTC